TATATAAAAAAATTAAAAAAATAGAAACTCGATAAAAAAAGCGATGATCTAATGTAGCAGAATATAATCAATCTATATCCAAAAACGGTACATAGAAAGAATTTTCTCTTCGAATTTACCCTGAAAATCATGGTAATTATGGACAACATGATATTGGAAGAATTTTATAAGAATTTCTCTGATTAATATTTACCACAATAAAAATAGTAATATCTACCACAATAAAATATAAAATATGTTCGATGGATTTTACTATATGTACATACATAGTAAAATTTACTATGTACATACTAAAATTTATTATGTACATATTAATGTTTTTTATTGTGATAAGTGTTAATCAGAGAAAATCTTTATAAAATTCTTCCATATTGTCCATGATTACTATAATTTTCAGGGTAAATTCTAAGAGAAAATTCTCTCCGTATAGTGTCTCGCGCCTATAGTTTACATAGAAGCGAAGCAACGTGTATCTTTGCGCGAGTCGAACAGAAACAATCGTAATTTATTTAATTGCTGCATAAAATATTTGCTTTAATATTACGAAAAAATTCTGAGAGATCTGATCTTTCAAATCCCTTTTTCTTCAAAATCACATCAAACAATAAAATTAAAAAAGTTTTAGATGCTTTGTGAAACGAATACTAATAATTTCCAGAGAGATTAAGAAGACAATAAAGCTTCTCTCTCTCTTTAAGAACCAGACTCCTGCTACTGCATTTTTTAGAAGATTAATCTAACGATTAAACCAAGAATGCAAGCAAGAATGTCTCTTAAAATTCGCGCAGCAGAGGATCAAGTAAAAAAAAGTCCAGTCAAAATTAAAAAAAAACTAACCATAAACGAATATATAACAAAAAAAAAACTCAGAATAAAAAAAATTTTCCTAGTTACAGAAAATATTCGTGGGTATCCTTTAACCATAGAGTGTCTCTCGAACATGTGTTCTTAACATTTTTCTGCTTAGCTTAAAGATTTGTGAAAGTGACAGATACCAAATAGGAACTTTCGGACAATGAAATGCGCTTGACAATAGAAGAATTCATTTTCGAATTAATTTGATTTTTACATGCTGAGTCATTCAAGAGGTCCGGAACTTTTTCACGTCCTGTATTATCGATTCGGATTCGTCAGCAAAGTTTTCTTACAGTTTTACAATTTCCTTGTGATTTTAATTATGCATGATACATTTTTATCTGATATGTCAATATTTTGATGACAAAAATATTAATATATTAGAAATTTAAGAGAAAAGAAAGAGGAAATATAAAAACGCAATATATAAATAAATGACATTGTTCTATTTCAGAATAAAGCACAAAATATTTATAAACTTGATTCATTTTATGATTTAAACGGTACATTCACAAAAAAAATTGAAAACAAATCATAAAATACAACTGCAAACATTTGAGCTATAATAAAAATTGATAAAATTTCATCCTCGATCAATTGTTTAGCATATAACTTTTAAAAATTGTATAATTACGAACGAAAGAAAAATCATTGCAAATAAAATTTTCAAAAATCAAGAGACCAAACAACCCCTTATGTAAAAACGAGGCACCGTGTATTTTTACGTGAACAATTGAGAGAATCTATATTATAGATTCGGTACTCAATAAACGGCTGAAGTGATCGAGTTTTTACTAGTTAAAGTTAAGATATGCCAGCGAATCTTTTTATCTCAAACTGAATAAATTTTTCTAAATGCTGTATTTTTTATGACTTGAGTTATAAACAAAATTGTTATTACAAATAATTATAAATAAACATTATATTTTTTAAATGTCGAATAGTAAATGTATAAAGGCATATCTTTGATTAACATTAATAGGCATTTCATCAATGTTGAATCCGTTTGTATTTTCAAAATAACGATAATAAAAACAAAGAATACAATAAATTTATAATATATGATTTTATAATCAGTATATAAAAAAATTTCTATACCTAAATGCTTTGTTCTTAAATAGAAAAAATAATCATTTACATTTCTATTTCACTATTTCTTTTTCCCTATTTTTTTGTTATATTTAGTGTTATTCTGAAAGAAATATTTACAACTGTAAAGCCCTACATACAATAGAGAAAATATTAAATATTAGAAATAGGAATTATATAAAAATAATAAAATCAAAAAATTCTGATATATAAATAATAACAAAAATTCAGATATAAAGAGTTCTTACTAGTTTATTAGGCCTTACTAGTCCTTTATACCCAATTTTTATATCAGAATTATCGATTGTATTTATTTCAAAATAATTATTATTCTTAAATGTTTAATATTTACTCCAAATACTTCCTTTATTATGCAAGGAATAAGAAGATAAAATTTCAACATATGTCCTTCTTAAATATATACAGGGTGCCTCCATACAATACTTGTACAAACGTGTTTTAAACGTAAAACAGACTTTTTAAAAATCTAATACAAAAATGAAGCAGCAATAATCTTTCAGCGATTGAAAGTAAGGGATTTTTCGCAAACTAAACCTTGTGGAAATGAAATATTAACAAAATCACATTCAGGATGCCCAGCAGACTCAATAAAAAAATTTCCTAACTTTTTCAGATTTTCCAAGACCAGAAATTAATTTTTTCTCTGACTTTTTAGTATTATTTTTTCCAAATATATAATTTGCATATATCTTTATAATAAATCAATTAAATGTTAAATCATGAAATCCTTGTTATATTTTTTATATTTATTTAATAAAATTATAATTATATATAGTTTATATTTATTTAATAAAAAATTTCTTTTCCCCGCCAATTCCAGATTTATAAAATTCCTTGATAATGCCCGGTTTTCTAGATTTCCCTGCCCAGACAACAAATATACATCCAAAATACGTCTATGGGACATCATACAAGTTATCCCGCGATCGTAATGGGATTGTCTCATGGGACGCCTATGAGACCGTAAATGTCCGCCTTATTTACCGCAATGGGATAATCTTGCAGACGTCTTAAAAGGGTCCTCACGATATCCCAAAATTTTCATAAGATATCGAGAGGATATTAAAATATACATCCAAAATACGTCTATGGAACATCATATAAGTTATCCCGCGATCGTAATAGGATTGTCTTATGGGACGCCCATAGGGCCGTAAATGTACGCTTTATTTACCGCAATGGGATAATCTTGCAGACGTCTTAAAAGGGTCCTCACAATATCCCAAAATTTTCATAAGATATCGAGAGGATATTAAAATATACATTCAAAATACGTCTATGGGACATCATATAAGTTATCCCGCGATCGTAATAGGATTGTCTTATGGGACGCCCATAGGGCCGTAAATGTACGCTTTATTTACCGCAATGGGATAATCTTGCAGACGTCTTAAAAGGGTCCTTACGATGTCCCAAGATTTTTATAATAGGTATCGAGAAGAATGTACATCCAAAATACGTCTATGAGACATCATACAAGTTATCCCGCGATCGTAATAGGATTGTCTCATGAAATGCCCATAGGACGTAAATGTCCGCTTTTTTATCACAATGGGACAATCTTGTCAAATTCAATAAAAGACATTATGCGGTCTGTATGAAGGCACATCCATCATCCACATTGTATCAAGACTAATAGGACAATCTAGATTCTATGAAAACGTCAATAGACACATTATCGAAGAAACGCGGAAGACTCTCCATGTATGTTACCGACGAAACCCGATTTCAGAATAAACTAATTTTTCCTAGGTTGAACTAGTCCATACAAAATGCGTTAAAATTAACCAGTTCAACTTCTATGCAGTACTATTAACCTTGATAGTTTCCTCGCTTTCAAGTTGTTTTTTTTTATGTGAGAATGCACAGAGCGATGGCGTTTTACAAAGCCCCGTCCCCCCGTGCACTCCTATCTAAATATCATTCTTATATACAAATTAGTTTTTCTTAGGCTAAACAGGAAAAATTAGTTTATCCTAAAATCAGGGTTTGGCCGGTAACATATACACTCTTCACCTGCAAATTGTCACAAGTATTCACATCACCTATATAAACAATTTCAACTTTCCGTGTGCATCAACTGTACGTTGTCTCCACTGTATGTGTGCTCAATATTGGATATTTTACTATTCAAAATGAACAGCGTACTATTAAGGAGATATACAGATAGTGCACAAAGAAAGTTGCGTTTGCATACAAATAAGATTTCCAGTTAAAATAATAAAATTAAAAAATAGACAGGTAAGGGCTTTCTAAAAAAGTAATATTGTATGATAATTATAGTTAGAATATGAATATATTATTGAAAAATACATAAGTACATATTATATTATTGTATATTACGTATATTACGTATATTGTACATACATATCAGTTCTACGTAATTTATAAACGTAATTTATGTACGTAATTTATAAACATGGGCATGAAATTCTTCTTTGCTTAAAAATTATTAAAATAAAGCTGTGCTATGAAAGCACGTATTAAAATTTGAAACTTTATAAAAAAAAACTACTCAACTTTATAAAAAAAACTAATCAAAAAAGAGACCACAAAATAAGGAAACAATTTGTAATAAGAACATATATTATTATAATGTAATACTATCTTTTTTATAGATTTGATGGTCCATAAAAATGATAATTAGTTAGAATATGAATATATTATTGAAAAATATATAAGTACTTATTATATTATTGCACATTACGTATATTGCATATCAGTTCTACGTAATTTATAAACATAATTTATGTACGCAACTTATAAACATGGGCATGACATCCTTTGCTTAAAAATTATTAAAATAAAGCTGTGCTATTGCACGTATGAAAATTTGAAACTTTATAAAAAAAAACTACTCAACTTTATAAAAAAAACTAATCAAAAAAGAGACCACAAAATAAGGAAACAATTTGTAATAGAATATATATTAATATTATATATATATATATATATATATATATATATATATGTAATACTATCTTTTTTATGGATCTGATGGTCCATAAAAATGATAGTAATTGCATAAAATCTAACTACCTTAGATTTTTTTCATCACTATTTAGAAGATTTTCATCAACTATTTTCTCATTAATATTTTTATCAGCTGCGTTATTAGCCACAGTATTAACTTGGTTTTCATTATCGACTTCATTGATTTCATCCTCGGCCACGATTTCCAAATCATTCGCAACATGTGTTATTTTCCTGAAAAACGTTTTGTATATGTAAATTATTATTTTCTCTAAAACTAATTTTTTTCTAGCTTACATAACATGGTAATATTTCATATTATTCGGCTTTTACACATATAAAGTATTACGTCTTTTTATTTAGCTTTTTTGCAACAAATACTTTATAAAATCAAGCGTAGTAAATTACGAAATCGTTGTTTCGCAGAATTAAATAGATTGCTCTACAGCAATAAAACATAAAATTTTATGCAAAACAGAACTTCGTAATTTACTACGCTTGATTTCATTAAGCATTTGCTGCAAAAAAGCTAAATAAACGTCATTTTATATATATATATATATATATATATATATATAAAAAATAATATAAATCGTTATCATGTTAAGTAGGTTAAAAGAAAAATATAGTAAACTATATCTAAACATATGTTAAATAAAATTTACTTTTGTTCTCGTGAAAAGCGCGCAGGGGCATGACGCAGCCATGATTTAATTGGATCGCTTATATGTTTATTGGTAACAAGAGACTTTGTAAAACGGCAGCGGACAACACCTATATACAAATTAAAATTAATTTAATTTATAATTTATATAATTGCTATTTTAAATATGTCGTAATAGATAAAAAATAAGATACAAATAAAAGGTTACATAGTTAAACATCAGCATGAATTGGTTATATTTATTTTGATACGATTTGACTTACTTGATATGACATCAAGAAGCTTCAGTTTATCAAATGCTTTTTTTTTGTGGGCTCCGTGGAAACTATAATTCGAAGCTAATGCATTGCTCATTATTTCCTGCATTAGTTTTAATACAGTACTTTTGACGTCCGCTTGTACAAAAATACCCAAGTCCTTAATCTACAAAAATATTTAAAAATATATGAGGTGCACAGTTAATATAATATAATTTTGAAAATAATTATATAGTTGTATAGAAGAGATCGCTTAAAAATTATTAAAATAAAACTGTGTAGACGTAAAATTCTTCTAATTTGCTAGAGCAGAGAAAAAATATGGGGTCAGACGGATTCGAAACCGGGACCTACACCACAACAAGGAACCACTATGCCTGTTCCACCACGAACTCCTTGCCATAAGTCCTCTCTGCTCTCTTATTTAAACTATTTTCCCTAATTTCCTACAACTGTGGTGCTATTGCACGTATAAAAACTTAAAACCTTATAAAAAAAAACTAATCAAAGAAAGCCGCAATAAGGAAACAATTTTATAATTGAAATATTTTTTTACAGTCCAATTTATCTGTGCAAAAATTATTTTATTTTCAACTTGTCATAAAATTCAGCTTGTACTGATAAACCAAATTGACTTTATAATCTCTATCTTTTGTAAAATGGTTCTTTTGGATCCGAGTGGAATTTTCAATTTGAAGTAATGTACACAAGATGTATTTTTGTTATAATTTTTTGTTTGGGTTCAAAGGGCACGAGCTCTTGCAAAGTCAGTTTGGTTCATTTGTGCATTTTAAACCGTATGACAAATTGAAAAATAATAAAAAAAACATTTGCATTAATAAATTTGTGTGTAAATGCAAATAATATATTTCAGTTATGAAACTGTATCATTATTTTGTTTTTTAGTTTTGTTTAAAAAGTTTCAAGATTTCCTGAATATTTTATACTTGCATCAGTTTTATTTTTATTATTTATACGTATATAGGGCTCAATAGGGGGTTGAGTAGTAACTAGTTAAATTTAACAATTAAAAAGTGAATAATTTTTTACTTACAATTAGTTAATTTTAAATGCAAAAACTTTACACTTAGTTAATTTTAACGTTTTATTAAATTTGTTTATACTATATAGTTAATAAATAATTTATTAATATTAAAGTCATATAAAAATAGATGATTGTAATGCATAAAAAATATTTGTATGTCAATTTATATGTAATTAGATAAAGAATTATTAAAGTGCTTAAGAAAAAAAAATGACAAACTGCAACTTTGAAATTATACATTTATTATTTAATAAGTATTTATAAATTTTAATAAAAATATTTATTTGCGGTCTATCTTTCTCTTGTATTTTATATCTTCTTTTTCGTGTATTTCTTATATATTTTAATAATGTATTTATTTATAAATTATAAATATTTTAATTTTTTATATATATTTAATAATATATTTTAATAATTAATAATATAATTTGCCAATTAATATAAAAAAATAAAGAAAAATTATTTCACAAATTAAATAAATAAATTCTTGGCTCGTCTATCAATTCATAGGGGGGTAAAGAGGGTTCCGCGTTCGTTTAATCGTGTTTATCTCACAAGTAATGAGATCACGAACCGCGTTTAAAAATTTTGGTATTAACCAAGTAATATTTGTGCCTCTGTGCACGTAATTTAAGTCTCGTAAAAATCTTAAATTTCTACAAGACTAACGCACCACTAACCGCGTATGGCTCGGAAACGCCTGTTTCATATTTGTAAAAATTATTTCTTTTTTATAAATTATAAAAAACTATTTTTTATTATATTTTAAATAAAAGTACCAATTAAATACATAATTATGCAAAAAAGATAATTTTATATAATTAAGGGGTTAACTTTTTTAACTTTAATTTTTAATTTTTTAACTTAACTTTTAACTGAGTTAGTTCTTGTTTCGACTTTTAACGTTAACATATTTAATTTATGGTCTATTAATTTTCAACTTAACTTAGTTAACAAAATTAATTAACCTACCTAATCCTGAGCTCAACTAAATGATACAAGACTTTTGTGATGTTAACAAAATAAAGTATGCACAACACAAATATATATACTTACTAAGTTGTTTTTATGAAGTATGTCAGTCGATAAACGTCGTTCTTCTTTTATTAAATCATCTTCCGTTAATATAGGATAGGCCTTCAAAGTTTGACTTTCAGTATTTTCGATTTCTTTGTCCGTCGTTTTTGTCGTCATCAATTTTGTTACATTACGCATTTCAGCAATTAATGTGTCTATCTTCAAATCAATGTTAGCCATTGCTCGTAAAACTGTTCTGCTACAATTCTCATCTATAAAAACAATAAAAATATAGTTTAGAAAAAAGGATATAATTACAAATGTTTTGTTTTAGTAGATTTGTTTGTCATAATAATTACTGTGGCTATCTGGGTAAGAAACGTGACACTTCGTTTCATGAACGTCCGTATGTAAGAAGACGTCTTCTTATCGCCGACTCAATATCGTGCGAGCGACGAGTAAGAAGCAAATAGGTGTAAATCACAAGATCTGGCCAAAATGTGCAAGTAAATCCCAGCACTGGCTTATAAGTCAGTATTTAAAATTTAATTATCAGTATGTAAAAATGGGAAAACGACAAATCCTGATTTGTGTGGGAGTTTTACATATTTGTTGACAACATCACTGAGTGGTCGTATAGATAATGTCTCGCTGCGTGTATATTGAACTTTATATATATCCAGCAATGATGATGAGCATGGAATCTTGAAAAAATCTTCCTTAGAAATAAGCTGTCGGCCTATTATCATCAATTCTTGGGTTTCACGACAGGAAGCTATATTTTGAATCTCAAATATGTCACCATTTTTCAGAATGCAGCAATTATCAGTATTTCCAGTAGTCTTGATAGTGAAATTTGATGATTTTATAACTTTATACTGTGGATTAATGCAATTCTCAGGCAGAGGACCTTTGACATGAAGAGAAGTTGTAACAAGTTCTAAATCATCGTTTGTGCTTTTATTGTAATTCAAACATGCACTTTTTATTTCTCCATAGCGCCGAGCTATTTGCTGCAGTGGTTTCTCTGGTTTACGTATCATATTTTTCAGTATCTGCATGAAATTCTCAAATTTAAATGCACTAAACTTCTCTATAGATCCATGTAACTTTGCATCTTCTACGAGGTGAATAATGCCATGAACATTGTGCGTTACATGATGCACGCCGTATATTTTAGCGAATGACTTGATAAAATGTTTAGCAAGACTTTCTGCGTAGTTCAGTTTATTCTGATGCCGTTCCACGTCACATAATATTCTGATTAAAACATGAAGCGTCATAAAGTGATTGTACATTGCCTTTGGCAAGATCTTTCTTAAAACAATTGGCCCCGTATAAAGAAGGAATTGCCGAAATTCAGTAGCTTTCCATAGCTTTAAAAACTCCAAGCTTTGAGGTCTTCGACCGAATTCTTTTGAAACAAATGGTTTCATATCACTTTCAAGTCGTTTCGAGATTTTAAGAATTTGTAGACGACCGAGTCTATAGGTATTTTCGCCGTGAATCCATAATGTTATCATTTTTTTAACGACGCCTAACAGTATTAGATGCATGTAATCTAAAGTTACATTTGTAGGCATTTTTTATAAAGACGTTAACCGACGATGAGATTAGCTGATTTACGTGTTTTGTTTGTCGACCTCGTGCCGGGTACTTATTTATTTGTAATATTTATTATTGAAAGCGTTCTAAGCGATCCTTTGTTTGTCGAGAAAACCGAAAACACATCTCTGCGCGATGAACAAAGGTAATTCTGATTGGTCCGATGTTTCGGGTAGGGAAGGTTTTAACACCGGGTATAAATATGCCGACTTTTTGGGAATCGACAGACATAGAGAACCGAA